CAGCAGTGGGAGTGTATACAATAACGCGACTCGCACTCCTGCACAAAAAAAGGTCAGTAATACATAATGAGAACAGTGCCTGGTGCCAAGTTTCATACCATTTTGATCATTCGGCCTCGCCCTGTCAACTCGATTTTGATAGTCGAGCGCCCAACCTACAAGCTGCCTAACCTCTCAACCGAGACGTCGCAGCTCTTCTTCAGAAGCTAATTTATTTCGCATAGCTAAGATGCCAGCCTTTGTCCTCTCGCATGAAGCCCATGGCTCATCAAGGTGATTAAGCGCCACCTCATCCCAAAAAGGATCTAGCAAATCCATGTCCATGACTTCGTCAAATGTTGGCAGCACCAGTCGAGGAGTTGGTCGGTGACGTTGATTGTACCGAGAGGCATGCCTCACATACGTCTCGAGTTTCTTCTTCAGTAAGCCGCGTTTCTTCTTGTTTAGTTGCTCATTACGAGGTTGCTGGGTTGCACCTGGCGTGTCAGTGCGATTCAGTTGGAAGGGTAGAATGGGAATGAGATGTAATATCCAGTGCTTATCACACAACTACTAGGGTAAGACACACCGGTTCGGATGGTTGCATTAGCCCTCTGTTGAATCACATCCATTGCAGCCTCATACAAGAAACCCAAGGCAACCTGGACAGTAAGAATCACCTTAACTCTGACATCTATCAGCACAAAGACAGTTTGGTAAGCATTCAAAAGATACCATGTCATCAAATTGTTGATCACAAGAATACTAACTGCTGCCTCTACGAGCATTCAAAAGTTTGGCATTTCCCAGTTTGTCCGCCACAGCTTGAATTTGGACTTCAAGAGCAACAAGGGATGCAGGCAGGTCCAGCAGTTCATGACACTGTTCAGCTGTTCTGATAGCAGCATGGACTGCATTCATAGCCGCAAGTTTCCGACTGAAGCGAAGCAAACTATGTCTTAAAATTAGCAATTGACTACTTAGGCGCCCGATGAGAAATCATAACATGCCGAGCTTCCAAGAGCTCCTCCTCAAGGGGTAGGAGAACACCAAGACGTTCTCGTTTCTCCTTGGCCTCCACGCTCATTGCTTTCGGCTGCAATGATCGTTGCCGATCCCACTGGATCTGAAAGTACTCTTTGGTATGAGCTGGGTTTTGCTGAGTCAGTTTTGCAAGCAAAGCCTTGCTTTCATGTAGCTCCAATTGATATTTCTTGGTATGGCTACGCAAGAATGATACTGTTGCGCGCATAATATTTAATGTTCTTTAGCTTATATTCAATTTCAATTACTTAGGCAAAAAACATTACCTGCCTTCCATCAAAGTTCTTCATTGCGATGGTTCGTCCACAGAGAAAGGCTAACCATCCGGCGTTGTTTGGTTGCGTAGCGGTTAAGTCGAACAAGAGGCGAAATCTTGAACCACACACGCTCCAAACCCTCTCCATTACTTTTCCCCCACCCTCGATTGAGTCAAGGGTTATATTCCAGCTGGCAGGACCAATTGTAAGCATAGGCGTGGAATAGGGCTGTCCCCAGCTTGACCTGCTTAGCATAATTGGAATCTGTAAACACTTTTTTCTACCAGTAAAGATTAATTGTCAGTCATATAGATTCATGTGTGGTTTACCTTCTTGATGGTTTTATCCAGGTTACACCCTATGTTGTACAAAATTCCCACTGTTGTTGTTCCAGTGCGGTCTGATTTCATCAACTCTAGTAACCACTTTATTAGCGCTAGCGCATTATGATTTCTGATTGATAATGCGCTGGTCAGTATAAGTCAAACATATGTTCATAAGTTGCAACATCTTAATTTTTGCCGCTTTGAATCAGATTAATGAATTTGCGGACATGGTCATGTCTACATGCCATACCCAACAACCCAGATTCATCCATATTCTTAAAGTGTCCACGTCATCTCACATTGTTGGCTGTAGTGTGAGCTTTGGTGCAGGCGTCCTATATATATATAAAAACAGTAAGTATCTGTTAGCCCAACCTGATTCAATTTAGTTTGCTGAATGGTGACACTGACCCCTTCAAGTGGAACATCCGGTGTCCTACTCATGAATTTTTCTTTTGCAACAACCAAGTTAGGATCTAGGAATATTGACGGTCTTGGCGGGAGCGATTCAGGTATGGGTACACTGGCACGTGCATGTCGCTTATGCTGGAGATTGCCATCAAGGAAAACCACAACATGAGGCTCCTCTGGCCTCACGTTCCCCACTGGAGGTCCGAAACACTTTGGACAGTTCACTGCAAGCTTGTCAAGCTCTGATAGTCCCAGTTTTTGACTTTTGATCTCTTGTATTTGAACGACTATAGCTCTATATGTATCAATTGCCACTGAAAATGGCAATCGCCAATTCCTAGGCTACCAATGCGTGTCAGTTTAGGAATACTTTCCTTATTACATCACAATGTTTTGTGCTTACTTGACCACTAGATGTTAGTATCTCTGGACTGCTGTCGTTAAGCACATCATCCAGTGCGGAACAGTAACCCTTGGTTGGTACTGCATAGCGAACCCACTGAGAGTGGTGGTGGACCATAAGCCGCACCAAAAACACCGTGCGCGGCTTTGATGGTGAGGCGGCGACATAACCCATTTGCAGCAGGCGCTGCGGATCCGAAAGATCACAATTCTTGCAAAAAGAAACTTTCATTCGCCGTCTGGCTGATGAAAAACAGGTGTGCCATTAATTCATAACATACCACGTCACTATACACCATAACAGCAAATATACTTAGCTCACATAAGAGATCCACAAGGTCAACATCCCGCCCGGTCTTGATAGAGCAGTTGCAGGGCGGTGTAGAACTCTTTCAGTACACAGCTGAAAGCAGAGCCAAGAAGGGGAAGAATGAAGACCAAATCAACAACACACATAATCAAAAGAAGAATAACTCTTGAGATGGTGAATTGAAAGACTTCAAACAAAGAAAGAAATGCCCTTCTTAAACAGGGACTTTGATTATCAATGAATTAAATTTAAGACCTTCAAGTCTTTGGATTAATAAAAACCAGGCTAAAAGAGGATAATAAAATCAAAAGTAGCACTATCTAGGCGCACTCAGGCACCTTCCAAATGAGCAAATGAGCTTACAACTCAACAAGATATTAATTAAAAGATGAATAAGGGTCTTATTACTATAAAATTCCAACTTTCACTAGTTGTTTACCTGAATAATGATAATAAAAGATAAAAGCTTATTTTACAATTCTAATAATTATTTTTTCTAACTAAAAGGCTCCCAAAGGGAGGAAGAGAGACACTTGACTATATCAAAATTGAAACACACACAAAAAAAAGAAAGTAGGACAAAAACACCCCTCAAACTCGAAATCCACCTTCAAACAACTTTTTCACACACAAATCATTGAACAACCCCCAAATTAAAATTGATAAACATCTTCAACTCACCCACATGTATCATTCACAAATTTTCAAGCACACATTTATCATTAAAACTGAGCTGTTTACCACAAAAACTGAAAAATCCGCCAATTTACCCTTGAAACCTGAAAGATGATAAGAAATAGGGACTGTATAGACATTCTGAATAGACAGAAAGAAAGGTCTCCTTCCGCTCTACAACTTTGCTCAGCCAAGCAAAACTCTAACTCTATTTGTTGTACCCTTAAAATGAAGTTCGATTTTAGCTGAAAATACTCGAAATTGGATTTACCCAGTTTACCACCTGATATTACCACTAATGATGATGTATATGGTTTATAATTGATTTTTCATGTTCAGATGCGAGATTATCACCCTCCCCCACTTATTTCTAGGCTGATAAGCTGCTGTGGTACCCTAAAATCAAAGTTATATGATTGAAAATAGCACTTTTTATGATTTTGAAAGTCATTTTCGAGTTTCTAATCCACCCTTTTCATATGTAATGTTTAATTTGCCAATGCTGTTGTTTGATGATCCCATGAATCCATCTTTCAAAGTGATCCCTGCTTGCTTTTTCAGTTTACCACCCCAGTTTACCACTACTACCCCAGTTTACCACCATCTGTCTGAGTTGTTGGATTTTCGAAATTTAGCCTTATTTAAACCCATACCTCAAAACCATGATTCCTCTACACAACACATTAAACCCATGAATATCTTTAAACATAACTATTAAAACCCATAATTTGCGAAATTTCAACTTGAAACCTGTATACTCCCCATAACCCATATATCACTCAACTACACATAAGTTTTAAACCCATAATTTCAACTTTTGGCTTCATTTTACACTACACCCCCTATACATAACCATTACACTCAAAAATCAGCATGTAACATATAAAAAATAAAATGAAATAAAATGAAATATGATAAAATAAAATGATAAAATCATAAAAAAAAATAAAAAAAATAAAACTAAAAATGAATTGTGTATTTGTCTCTTGAATACTTTTGATTACCACAGCGGGCAGACGTCTTCATTCCAATTCAATTGGTTGGCCCAATTCAAAGTTTCCAAACGTCTTCTAAGAAATGTGGGTAACATTATGGCATACTTCCATAGCCATCGGTTTTTGTTGGCCAGGTGTTCTGCTAAGTGTTGTTGCCTTTGCAAAGCCGCCAACATTGGGTCGTCTGGAAGGCCATCATTTGGCATAGGCATGAATTGATTGAGGTCCATCTCATGATCGTCATCGCCTTGGTCATCAAGAGGCGGTTCGAGATCATGGTGTGGAACTTCATGTAAGTCCTCGGCCATTACTTCGTCTCCTATGCGATTCTGACGTGCATTGGGCTCATTGAGCCTTCGGGCTAACACTGCATCTGAGGCCTCAGCATGCTCCAAATCACGTTGACGGGTCAGTTTGTGTTGGCTTTGCAAGGGGGTAGATGCCTTCGGTGGCTTAGGTCGATGATTCAGGCCGTGAATTATTCGACGTGACGGTGTGGTGAGCAAATCTCAATCTGCAAAGGTTTAATTGGAAAGAAGTTATTACATTATATTATTGAAGTCTGTGCTCAAAATCAAGGCTCAAAGTTTTATTAAATTAATTATTGATCAATGCAGCAAGTTACAAATCAAATCAAATCAAAACAACAAATTACAGTTACAAGTTTAGTAGTTTATACATCAAAAGAATTGAGAATCAAATTGAATCAAAAAAAATTGAATAAAATTAAAATTAAAATTAAAATGAAATGGAACAGCAATTAATGTAAAAGTCAGAGTAGAAATTAAAGAAGGTTTAGAGTTATCAAGAAAAGCAAGAAAGAAATCTAAAAATTAAGATAAATTGAAAATCAAATTAGCAAAACAAAGAGAAGAATTATAAAGAGGAGGATAAAAGGTACTTACTGAAGTGTTTAGTTGGAAGGATTATGAAAAGGAAGGTTGGAATCGAATTGAAAAACAAGAACATACAAAGGAAATGAGTGGTGCAATGAAATTTAGAATTCAAAAGTGTTTAATTAAAGATTTTTGAGATAATTAAATGAAGCTTAATTAAATTAGTCAAATGAGAGCATTGATCATTAGAAAGCTTTCAAACATTCAAATTAAGATTGATGAGATTATTAATTAACTAGATTACTAATCAACAGCTCATCCTCTTCTCAACTTCTTAATCAAATAAGACATCAATCAATCAATCAATTAACAATTTTCAAATAATTGAAATAACAAATTAGTCATCAAACAATTAGAAATCATTAGTCATCAGACAACTAGATAATTAAAATCACTAAAGACATCTAACAAATGAATTGGTAATCAACTATCAAAACTAAAAACATACCATGGTGCAATCAATCAAAGTCTATTAGTCATCAAATTGAAATTTACTCACATCTCACAGTTACTAATGACTAGAAACCAAATCAATTAAGAGATCAAATGATCAATTTTCAAAGTTCTCATCACTACATATTCAATTACAAATGAGGAAACTCACACAATGAGATAATCATGACTCAATTACATGTCAAATTGAGTTCTTACACATCAAATTAAATTACATATCAAATTGAGTGATTAGACATCAAATCAAACCATCATATGATCAAACATAAATTCTCTAATGACTCCAATCAACTGATTACTAAAGGTCTACATTACACAGGGCCAATTGAAGAATTCACACAATATCAAATGACTAATTAAACATTTCAATTCAAATATCTCAACATCAAAGCATTAAACAACAATTGAATTATATAAGATGGGAGAAGTGAGGAGTGTGTGAAGTTACATGTTCAATTTAGTGTGGGAAAGTTATGTAAAGGATGGATGTGTGATCTTTTTTTTTCAGTTTCTTTTGTTCTCTCAGTTTCTCTTGGCTCTCTCAGTTCAGTTATTCTACTCAATCTCAGTTTCATTCAGTTATGTAATTGGTACAATCAGGGTGGAAGCTTAGTTTCTTTTTTTTCTCTTTCACTCAATCTCTCTCAATTCAATTATTTATTTGGTGCAGCAAGGAGGATTACATATTTCATATGTACAAAGTTTATCTATGTTGGTGGGAAATGGTCTTGGCAGAGTTTGGAAGTTGTATGTGTACATATTTGTGGCCTGTGTTTGTTCTCTCATATTTTTTTTATTATCTCAATTTCTCTTTATTCAATTTTGTCTGGCTGTGTGTATATAAGGCAGGGGGTTGACAGGGAGGATTTGAAAGTTATCCAGAAATTTATCCAGGAAAGTTCCTATTAGTTTATAGCTCATTGGCAGTACCAACTGGCCTATACTCTCTTTTTATTTCTGTGATCACTTTTTGCCCCTTATATTAAGTTGATATAAGGAGACTTTTTCTTTGCTCTCTACATGAGTCTAATATTCTATATTTTCACCCTCTGATTGAAGGTGTGTGGTATATCCTTTGGTCTAGATAATTCATTGAGTTCTATTATTCTATCATATGCTTAGTTTGCTTCATTGAACACTTCATCTAGAATTCTAACATATTAGCCTAGGTTTTGAAAGGCTTAGAAAAGTATAAGGCTACAGCACATTGGCCAATAAGTTGTTGGACGTTTACTTTGTGGATGGTAGTTAGCTTATAGCTTTGTCAGGTTTTATCTTTCATTAGTCTAGTTCTTAGTAGAGGGTAGTCTGTCTGTTGATTTGGTTGCAAGTTGTATTCAAGGGGGTAGTTTGTGGTAGTTCCTTTAGGATTAGTCTTTTCACTGAGTTATATTTAAACTTTACTTTGCTTTGGGGAATTATAGTCTGAAGTAGTGATTGTAGCGTAGCCTTTTTTCCCTCTGTGTTCAGTTCACACCATTTTATTTACAAGTCTTATTCATTTAAGCACCTTACCATCCCTTTATCCCTTATTTAAATCTCAATAAACTCTATACTACCATTTTACCCTTTTCTCATTTCTGTAGTACTCCTCAAAGTATTATATTCCTCTCTTCCTTCTGGTCTTTTGGCTCTTTTAAAGGCTCAGTATTATTTAGAGTAGGCTAGTTAACTCCATCCAAAGTTTATTTGCACACCTCATATACTTCTTTTGTGTGTGTGTGGTGGTTGTCTTTAATTCTTTGGCTCCCTACTCAGTTACAGCTTGCTAAACTCATCTTTTCAGCAAGGGTTCCTACAACGGCATTTTGATAGAGATTTAGATGCATTCTTGGTAAGCTTGGTCCTCCCCACTTTAAAAAATTCTTTAACTTACACGCTCATCAATTATTGGCGTGTAATAGATGACCGCTTTGGGATTGTTTGATTACCCCAACGTGATTCATTGAAGGTGCTGTTCAAATAAGCGGCTGACAGGTCAAACATTAGCTAGACTATACGGTCGATGATTCCCAATCGGGAATTATACAACCTTGTCGTGCGCGTTTGCGTATTTGATATTCCAAATCGAGACAATCGATACGTGAGTAAGCAGCCCGGTGAACACCAATTATTCCACTGTCACCACCAAAATCATAGGAAGTGTCCTCTGGGGCATATGTCTGTTTGAGCTATAGTATTGGAATATTGCTCAAGTATATTCTCTTCATGTCCAGATCATGGGCGACATTGATTATGTAACAACCAATAGTTAAAACATCTGTTTGTTGGCCTCATAGTGTCCAATTGCGATCGTGGCCATTCTCGATAATGATTGTTTGATGATAATCAATGCACCATATTGGATAAGAATACGATTTACGGGATATAGCCATTTGCTGTGGGCGATTAAGATCATTTGGCAAAATAAAAGGGCACCCAAAATGTTTTGGACACCATCTGAAGGGTTGAGTCATGTAACAAGCAGTTGCTACATACGTCGCTACATTGGTTACATGACAATCATGTACAGGCCATGGAAGATTGGCTTGTGAGCATCGCATGTCCATACTCACGCTACTACGTCAAATGCTCCTCAAAGGGCATCAAGAGGTCTTCCTCCTGACTTCACATGTTTCAAATTGAACACAGCTTAAATTTGGATGCCACAGTTAAATACCAACGCATGTGGCATGTGACTCTCAAATATTTGCTAACCACAAGTAATGTGTAACACATACCTTGTAGTGTGTTATATTATTTCCTGTGAAATAAATTCGTGGTAAAATTTATAGGTGACAAATATTTGCATATCACTAGTATAAGCAGACCCATTTGACAATTTGCTCTAGTTTGTATACCGGTTATAGATCTGTTATACAACTATAAAAGTAAACCCTAATGGTTTGCCTTGAAGTGACCAGTGACCCAACTCTTACAATGACCAATTATGACTTCCCTGCTTGCTACGTTCAGTGCTGCCTTTGGTTTGATTGAATAGGTAGGTTAATCAGCATAACATGGTATCACCACTTCCAACTTGGATATTGGGATCTTTGCGTGAAGACTCAGATATGGCTGCGTGAGGACTCAGCCATGACACACGTCCTGTTAATCACAAGTGATTATATTCAGTTGTGGTTGAGTATGATTTGGTGTGGTAACAACCATCCCCAACCCCTGTTGTTACCTTACACTCAATCACTTGATTGTGTGGTTTTTGCAGTTATACCCTATCACCCCCTTGAACATGTCTAACCCCCGTGAACGTGTCCAAAAGTGCCATATCTTTTGACGCCTGGCAGTTAGCAGTGATCTGAGTGTTGCAAACCATTCTGGGTGTATGATTTGGTGTGTGAACAACCATCACCCAACCCCAGAAGTTACCACACACTCCAGCACTTGTAAGTGTTATATATTTGCAGTGATGCCATATCACCCCTGTGAACTTGTCCAAAAGTGCCATATCTTTTGACGCCTGGCAGGTAGTAGTGATCTGAGTGTTGCAAACCATTCTGGTTGTATGATCTGGTGTGGGAACAACCATCACCCAACCCCAGCAGTTACCTCACACTCCAGCACTTGTAAGTGTTATATATTTGCAGTGATGCCATATTACCCCCGTGAACATGTCTAAAAGTGCCTTATCTTTTGACGCCTGGCAGGTAGCAGTGATCTGAGTGTTGCAAACCATTCTGGGTGAATGATTTGGTGTGGGAATCAACCCACTGCAGTTGTTACCTCACACTCCTGCTGACAGGGGTTTTGAGGGTGGTGTTGTGAGGAATGATATCATGTTTTGGTGAGACGAGTGTATAGGGGGTGTTGCCCAATGGTGAAACCAATCAGGTTTGAAACAATGATGATTAAAATGATTATTGGGAAATAATTTTCTACTGTAATGAAACCAAAATAATTACCATCCAAAATTAATCATGACCTGCAAAATCTTAGGCTACTTAGCCTGCCTGATGGTGAATGTCCATCAGTTGAAGGTAGGTGCTTGCAACTCATGCTATTTTGCTGTGTAATGATACAAAATCCTTGCTGTGTGGATTTAAAACACATTATATAATGTGTATAAAACCCACACAGCAATGGATTTTTATGAATACTATATTGGAACACCAACAGGAGACTTGTTGCGCTTCAAACTCATCACTTGAGCAATAGTAAAGACAAAGGTGCATGGTAGAAGCTATTATCATAATTATTATATTGAAAACAAAATATGGAAGAGGATGCATGAGTTATGAGGTAAAATAACTATAACAAAGAGTTGAGACGCGCATAGTGTATCCATGAGTTCTGAGGTAAAATTACTCTAACATATAGTAAAGACACACATGGCAGTGAACAACGTAACACCCATTCTCTCCCAGTCATGAAAGTGTCATTGTGAAGAACAAACATCAAAGCTGTGCGGTCAAGCATGTAACGCACAACTAAGCCTTATTAAAAAAGGATGTTGGAGTAAACATTTCTTAAAGTTGAATACTAAGACAAATGAAATTAACAGAATAGCACCTTATCAATTACCATATTGCGGCCTATGTTATGGACCAACATAGGCTTGACTCTAACACAACCACACGATAGCACAAATTTTTCTACTATATGATTACATCTATTCATATCTTCCATTTCCTATCTGGTAGTTCCAAAATGTCCTGAACATCCCTAACTTTGCGCTCACAGTTTGATGTAAAGTTGTACTGTTCATCGGTGCCAACTTTGACGCTTTGTTAGAACCATAAGCCTCGTTGGTTCTTAAGCCCACGGGGCGAAGCGTAGGCAGTTCAAACCTTGGCGGTACCGAGTCATCAGGGACTGTACGCAAGCGGCGTGCAGGAAAAAGTTTGCCTCAGCAACAACTTTCCCACGCTATCCAAAGAACACGCCTATTCACCTTTTATTCCTCACTTCAGCTCACTCGAATAACTTCGACTCTCTCAGTTTTTGTGAGTTCTTATCAGATCAAGATGTCAATGGACGATAGAATTTCAGCTGCGGATGCAAATCTTAGGCAAACAAGAGGTTCGTCGGCGCAACTTGGCGTGCAACCAGTTCCTGGATTAGAGGTGCAGAAGAGAAAGAAGAGAGGCGGAGGAGTCGAGGATACAATCGATGAAGTAGAGGAAGGTGGGGGCGGTCAAGAAACAAACAAGGTAGGGGGTGGACAGGTTGGCAATGGTTCAGGTGGTCAGAGAGCAAATCCTCAGTTGATGCAAGTAGGTGGAGACCAAGGTCAAAAAGGTCTGATGGACTCGGATGATGACCACGAGTCATATAAACCGGGTGCTGATAAAGGCAAAGGCCCAGGTGGAGAGGAGTCGGAAGGAGATGAGCTAGCAAGCAAAAGCTTAGGTAAGGGAATTCTCTACTAAACCTTTTTTGTGTCAACCATTTCCTCTGTTATGTCCACCTATCCTTTCAACTGCTCGGTATGAAACACGTACGACCAATTGGACAATAACCCATCAAGACGCATGATATTGCTAGATGAAGAGCCCAAAAGGGTGCGGGTTGGGAGCCCTGAGGTGGTCCCGGCGGTGTCAAGCTTACCCAGCTGGAAGAATAGGGCTTCAGATAGACAGATCCATGTGCAATTGTTGTGCGACCCCAGAGAAAGAACGGAGACTGATTTACGTGTTATTGCGATTGCAACACAGCCGAAGGCAATCACTTGTTGGTGAAACAAGCACGGATAGATGAGCTGTATATGTTGGGTGACCCAGATGACGCACAGGAAGCAGCAGATCTGTTAGCACGCTCCATGGACAGCTTGATCGAGAAGACGCCATGCTCAGCTCCGAGACGACTCACAAACCAATCACCAGAGCGCGACCAACGAAACCACCGGGAGAGCATGAGCACGCGGCGACGGAGTCCCAGCCCGTACAAACTCATCCAGGAGAACCTGACAGAGGTGTCAACCGATCTGAAGGACACAGATCGAAACCAGTCCGGGAAACGCCCAAGACATCCATCTCCTGTGAGCAAAGAGGCCGAGAAAGCAAAGAAGAAAGATCAGAGGAGTCAATCGAATAAGTCGGAGGCAGAATTGGTCGAAGCCTTGTTACTCTCGGGAAAAGGAAGAATGGTTTTAGCGAACGGAGACGTTGTTGAGAATGGCAGAATCATAGTCCTAGATGATTCGAAGGAAATGGACAAATCTCTCCCTCACCTTTCACCCGTCCTTCTCGTCTATTTGCAGACATTCAAAGCATATATTCCGTTGTCCGTGTTCGATCAAGCCTTTTTGATAGAAGATGGGAACGCCTGGCAAACAAGGAAGGCCCCGTCAGCAGCGAAAATAATGGAAGGAGGTGCAACGGTGAAGGTGTACGGTAGTGAACCGCCGATGGAAGAACTGACAATGCAGTACGAGCAGTGGTTGAACGCCATGACTCTGTTCATTAAATACGTACGGCAAGAGGGTTGGGAAACTCAGGCGGAGAGGTTTGAAGGCCATAAGCGGGTGGTAATGGAGCTGAGAGATGAGGCGGGCTGGATGGTAGCGTTACGGTATTGTGTCAGGGTTAGGCAGGGTCTGATGAGGATGACAGTTGATAAGAAGATTTATAATATCACGAAGATACAATCAGTCATTCTGCATGAGGTCAAACAGACTTGCGAGAACTATAACGAGCGAGCTTACCAAACGAACCCTTATGCACCAGGGGGACCAAAGGCCGACATCAACCCCGAGACCGGTTTATTAAGAGCGGACAGAGCACCAAAAAGAGGGAGTACCTCGTATGAAAAATTGACCTCCACCTCTTCTTCTTATAACACTAGATCGTCAGCTTATGAGAACGCGAAGAGGACAAAAGAAGGTTGGTTGCCAGACGAAGAGTACAGGGAGAAGAAGGCAGCAGAACGGCGCAATAGGTTGAAGAGAGACTATGATAGAAACGACCGTAGGGGGAGAAGGAGCCCGGATAGGTCGAATGATCGTCGTGATGACTGGAAAGACCGTCGAACAAGTCCTGGCAAAGGATATAATCGGGGTTATGATACCAAGCGTAACAAACCTTATGGAAAGAGAAGCTAGTGAGTGCTGACAGGCAGTGCAATGCAATAGATAGAAAGAAGTCGAAGTGCCTCTTGTGAAATCTTTGTAGAGACAGAGCCCCAACCCCCCCGTTTTTCTTGAGTCGCCTAGAGATTGGAATACCTGATGAGTGTTGCTTCTAAATTGCCTGAACACAGCCCCAGTGAGAGTCCGAGAAGGAGACTGAGAGTCGAGCTAGACTCTCTGAGCCTACAAATCTCAGCCCAGCAATACAGAACTAGACAGTCAATATCCCCTCATAAGAGGTGGCCGTCCAAAAGTGGCTGTGAGATGAACTTGGGGGTGTGGACAAGGGAGTTGAGGGGTGCGAATATCCTAGAGGAGAACTGGCATATTGTCAGAGGCCTGAAAGAGGGATTTCATCAAGGCATCCCGGAAGAAAAGATGGACAACCTACGTTTCTATTGTCCACCGAACCACTCCTCAGCTTTACAAGCAAGAGACGAAATTGAAAAGAATTTCAAGAGAGAGTTAGAAGGGGGGCGTATGTTCGGACCGTTCTCCAAGGAAGAGGCGTACAACCGGTTAGGTTTCTTCAGGACAAGTTCGCTGGGAGCGATCACAAACGGGGAGGGACGATGCGACCGATAAACGACCTATCGTTCCCGAAAAATGATTCAAAGATAAGATCAGTTAACGCAAAAGTAGACAAGGATGAATTCACAACCTCCTGGGACGATTTTGACAAGGTCGCGATGTTCCTATTAGAAGAAGATGGCTCGGTTCTTTTAGGGATCTATGACTGGGCTCATGCATATAGACAGATTCCGACAATGGTGTGCCAATGGCCTTTCCTAATGATTTTAGATTTCAACGGCGAAATCCTCCTTGATACCAGGATAACGTTCGGGGGAGTAGCCGGTTGTGGAACTTTTGGCCAAGTAGCTGACACGTGGAAGCAAATAATGCAGTCAAGGTTTGGGTTCCTACGTGCATTTCGATGGGTGGATGACACCTTGTTTGTAAAACGAGCAGACGGATCAAACAGTAACAAGATGACGGACGTCGTGAAACTTAGCGAAGAAATGGGAGTAGTGTCGAACACAAAGAAGTGGAAAGAGTTTGATGACAAACAGAAATATTTAGGTATGATTTGGAATGGTAGAGACAAGACGGTACGTTTACCTCAGGAGAAGATCCAAAAGAGATTGGACCAGATCCAGGAATTCAGGAGCGAGAAGAGCGTGAACTTCAAGGCTGCAAAAAAGATGGTGGGTAGGTTATATCACTTGACATCGGTTTACCCGCAACTTAGGTGCCACTGCATGGCACTATACCACTGGATGGCAGAATGGAAACATAGGTTAGCAAAACGCGACATACCCGAAGAAATCTTGGAAGACCTGGATAGATGGTCAAGGACGCTTACAATAGCTGAACCTAGAAGGTTGATACCTCGGAAGGGAGTTGTGAATATCGGGTGGGTAAGCGATGCCTCAACGTCGTATGGAATAGGTGTGATTGTCGGTAAGAAGTGGGCACGTTTCAGACTGAGGACGGGTTGGAATGATAAAGAGGAAGACGGATCTAGGCGGGAAATAGCCTGGGCAGAGACGGAGGCCGTGAGACTAGGATTGTTGATGGTAGTCGATCTGATGGAGACGAGAGGAAGGGATTTCCTGGTTCTAACAGACAATGTTGTAACAGAAGGGGCTGTTTGGAATGGAAAGTCAAAGAATCAGTGGGTGAACAGAGAGTGGATACAAATTCAGGATGAGATGTTGAGGTTAAATTGCTGTGTCACGCAGCGGAGAGTGACATCAAGTGACAACGCGGCGGACCGGCTGTCTAGAGGGCTGGATTGCTCGAAACATGTGAGGGATATGATACGCGTACAAGTTCCATGGGACCTAAGACATCTCATACGTCAAGAGTGAAATCCGTCAGCGGAGGGGAAGCAGAGCTTTTCGATCCATCGGAGAAATCAGCAACCATGGCAGAAGCCCCTCGAGAGCGATAAGGAAGAAACTTACCTCGCCATTTTGAGAACGCAAAAAATACAACAAGGTCAATCGCAGGTCGACATGCAGTGTTGAGCGGTTGGGCGGAAGGAACGATGAAAGGATATTCAAGCGGGATGTCAAAATTTATTGAGTTTAAAGAGAAGACGGCCAGAGGTTTTGACGAGAATGCAGTGATCGAAGATGAGGATATCTACGAATTTATAACCTGGGCTGGCGAATCGAAAGTGATAATGGAGAATGGTCCGGCGAGAGTAGTATCATCGGTGACAATAAAGAAGTATTTGGATGGAATTTGCGCCTGGCATATGGTGAAACATACAGCAAGACCGACGGCGGATAGAGAGGTGGTGTTGCTCATGCTGTCAGCAACTAAAAGAAATGAGGAAGAAAAAGCCCTGTTAACAAATAAGAAGCCAATCATGATCAATCAACTTTATGAATTCTTCAAATATGCGCAAGGAAAATCACCGGAATTGGAGTTGGCAGCGTCGATAGCGGTCATAGCATTCTGGGGTATGGCTAGATTGGGAGAACGTCTACCAGGGAAAGCAGTCGAGGGTGCACTTTTGAGAAGACACGTCGAGTTTGGCGAGCGAGACGGGACAAGGTTCGCAAAGCTACACTTGAGGAAGGCGAAGATAGCAAGAGGAGGAGAGGTGCAAGAGATTCATCTACAACAACAGTTCAATGTGTTAGATCTGGTGGCAGCTTTGGAGAGAGTGCTGGAGGCGAATCAACAGGCAGATAGAGACGGCTTACTGTTCACATGGACGTCCGGGAAGAGCCAGAAAGCGCTCACTAAGCCAAGGTTCATAAAATTGTTGGAAGAGGTATGGGGAAAAGCAAGCTTGGGAACGTGGTCAGGCCATTCTTTTAGAGTGGGAGGAGCGTTGATAAGGTACAACCTTGGTACGCCCATGAAGAGAATAGCAAATCAGGGGAGATGGAAGTCCTTAACTTACCTGAGGCAATACCGGAATCACTGCAAAACGCAGCGAAATATGACCAAATTACATAGTTTAGCGCATTCTGCGCTATGAATTGGAGAACTAACACTCCGCTATTTTTTTGAAAAAAAATCGCACAGACTTGCGCAGCGGTCAAACCACTAAAACCTCGCTATATTTCGCGCTAAAAATGGGACCGCAATATAGCGCACTACGTGCGCTATATCGCTATATTGCGCACTATGTCAGGTTGATCAAAGGAGAGAAAAGAATTATGTATTGAAAATCCATGTGTACATGTCCAAGCGTATAGCATTGATCCAGGTAGGAGAGTGGATTTGATTCTACTATAAGTGAATATAGGAATCGAGAGAAAAACAAGAAAGAAAATATAGAAAAGGGGAATAACCCAACAAAACGTGTATTCTACTATAAGTGACCAAAAGGCCCGAGACAAAGTGTGTTAAGTTGCTTTATGATTATGATTTGATGTATAAGTGCAAAAAGCTAGCGTTTCTTTTTGTCGATATGATCAATGTAAGCTTGTAGTGCTTTGACAGCCTCTTCAAAGGCACCATCAGGTACAATCCCCTCTTTCAACCAGGCTTGAGAGCCTACCAATCGCTCCATCGTTCTAGGTAGCAAGCTACCTCGAGATGGGGTACAGACATCAGCAGCCGCTGAGAACGTACGTTCGCATGCGCAAGACGTTGCTGAGATAGCAAGGTAATCACATGCAAGTCTAGCAAGGATTGGGAAGCGAAGATGATGTTCCTGTTGAAAGAAAGAAGATGTGGTTACGCCAGTTCGAAAGATTTGAGTCAAAGGAAAGAAGCCTACCTTCCACCAATCAAGCGCAGTTTGGTCTTTTTTGATAGGAAAACGACCATTAAGATAGTCGTCTAGCTCTGAGCTAACAGTCTTGATTTGAGAGCCAGTGGAAACCCCAAACACATCAAACTCATCGGCCTCCACAGTATCATCGGGTTCTTCAGGTGATGGGGTTTGTTCGCGCACTTCGTTTTCTTCCAAAAGTTCGTCAAAGGCGTTGTTGATCAAGAGTCGAGATGAGTAGTCGTCTTCTGGATAATGAAGTGTGAAGAACTTCTGTCGATATCGGGGATTGACGATTGTTGCTAGTACAATGGCGTCACAACTAGCAGCCTCGTCCTGGTACTCAATGAGCCACTTGAGCATAACATCGATGGCATTATCTAGACTTGCGAAAGAAGACGCCTCGGCTTGATGAAGTTTGAGTTCTGAGATGACTCGCTTGTACTCAGCAAGGAGGATAGAGCCAGTAGGCCCGTTGCCCTCAACTCTGGCAGTTGCATCGACAAAGGTCTAAGATAACCAAAAGTTTAGGTCAGCAAGTCAATCAAAAGCAAGGAGAGAGAGAGAGATGGATGTAGAGACAGAAACAATGCTTACCTTCAAGACTTTGTTCACCAACTCCACAGCATCCCATTCAGAGGCAGAGATCGTTACACCCTTGAAGAAACAAGCTTTTCGATCAGCTGCAATCATCGAGTTAATGACCTGCGGATGAAAAGAGACTGAATATGAGTACGAGAGAATAGAGAAAAGATGTGGAATAAAAAACCTGACCTCCTGTGCCTCGCAAGCGATCTTGCGGCTTTCGTAATGACTGTTCCAACGAGTCTTGCAGGGTCTTTTGAGCATTCGACCAGTGTACCCCATACGATTGGCCCGTGTCTTGAAGTCATTTCTACGAGCTGCACTACTAGCGATCTGACCAGATACCGCGTCCACCTGGTACAAAGACATCATGTCATCAGAACAGAGATGAAGAAAAGAATTAGATAGAATTGTTACGTACTTTCTTGAGGGCAACTGCCACCACATCATCAATTGCACAAGTTAAACCATACTCGCTATCCTCATCTCCATCTTCATCATCAACATCAGCATCGTCTGAACCAGTGTCGCTCTCGTCGTCCGAGTTATCGCTGTCGATGATTGCATCCTCACCTTTGTTCACCTCGATTCCAGGTATAGGGATAGGAACCCCATGTGGTACACAAGGTGAGGCCACACTAACCTTTTGTCCAATCGCCTTGAGACCGTGCCCAACTACAAGATTTAGTTTGTGGGCGTAACATCGAATGTGATGGGACGAGGCATTCCAATGGACTGGATCGTCAGCGTTGGCAAACATCGATTTAAGTTCTGAAGCCATCGGTCCATTATTTCCTCCACTATCCGTCGTCTGGCCTAGCATGTGAGTATTACAGAACAAGTTAGTAATTATGAAAGAAACCATTTTGAAATAAAATAAAAAAAGGGATGACTGATCTTCTTATGAAGGCCATGTCGAATCAAGAATCGACCAACAGGCCTTGCTAACAGAACCCCAAAATGACGCCAAGCTACCATCTTCAGAGTTAGGTGAGTCGAAACATACTCCCAGTCGTTGTTGATGTAGTTGGCTGATGCTCCAACAAACGCGTACCGATTACCTTTGGTAGTCCAAACGTCATGGATCAGACAAAAGCGTCCTTGGTTCTCCTAAATTGAAACGAAGAAGTTGAATGAAAACATTAAATAAGTTAAATATCAAACGATGAGGAGATTAAGGAGGATGTAACTTACTTTCAATGTGTTGATGGCCTTGTGATGCAAGGCAGAAAACAACTCAACGGACTGTTGGGAAGCCCATGTCTTCGATCGAACCACAGCGCTACGATTAACAGTGTAGAAGGCTGCACGGAGGGAAGGGTCTTCGAATCGTACCCAAGGGAGGGCGTGGCGAACAATCCAGATGACGAGGATCATGTTGAGAAGTTCAGGAGTGAAGATTGGACCACTGACAAACGACTTCAAAGTGCCTCTGGACTTGTCCTTGGCCGCCTGTTTTTCAACGTAGCTGGGTGGAAGAGTAACACCAGCTGTGATGGCTCGAGCTCTATGCTTGCAGTGAGGTCGCGTAGAGGTGCCATTGCGGTGGCCCCACAAGTTGTAATAGGACGAGGGTCCATTGAGAAAGGTCTTACGACACCACCGGCACTGGTAGCCACGTCCCTATATGAAAAAAAAACTTACATGTCAGCCATGCACCCACAAGAAGTATAGAGATTGTGAGACTGAGAATGACAAGAATTGGAACAAAGAATATAAAAACTTACATCTGGATCATGATAATATTCAAGAAGCTTCTTGACACCAAGAGTCCGAGACTCATTATAGCCAGTTCTGTTTGTTCCAATGATCTCAACGTCTGAATCTTGGTCTAAGTCTACCTCATTGGGGACTTCAAAGTGCTAAGATCGAGATAAAGATGTCAGAAAGAATCAATAATAAGTCCAAGAAAACATAACTTACTTCCATCCGAGCTTGCTTAGCTGAACGAGGTGAAGTTGAAGTTGAACCACTCAATGAAGTTGGCGACGTAGATCGAGCTCGTTTGCTAGTTGACAATCGAGGCTGCAAAAATCGCAATGATGAGACATGAAGAGAATGAAACCAAACAATATGAAATAAAAAACTAACCTTCCTCTTTACGACTGGCTTTGCTTTTTTTGGCGCTGGTACAGCAGGTTGACTGTTACGTTTCTTGTTGACAAGAGCTGGACGAGGTGAAGCAGCACGATGATTAAGAGAGGAAGAAGATTCTTCAGGATTTGAAGAGATTACTAGAGCAGAACGGGAATCTTGTGGAGGGACAAGAAAACCAGGCTGGATGCGAGCTGGACTTGGTGGACGGTTACTTCGTCTATTGGTTGTAGTCGGAACCTGGAGGCTTGGTTGGATGGAGTTTTGCGATGAAGATCTGGGAAGTGGCATAGTCACAAAGGGAAACAAATGAAATTATTAATTAGAACTATGACAAAAAAGGACAAACAGTGATCAAAAATAGGAAATCAAGCCGTACCTTTTATTAGATGCTCGTTTTTGACAAACCACAAGTTGGCCAGGTTTTGAACACACCAAAGCGAAGAGAGAGGAGTTGTATTGATTGTTGCTTGGGTACGTGGATCAGATAATCGAGATCAGAGATGGTGTCGTTCGGTTCATGGTATGTGGATTGAGTTGTAAGTGAAGTGAGGCTGAGTGGCGTAGATGAGTGATACCCTGTACCCATCTACGCCAAATTGCTCCGAAATATAGCGGAGGTACGCCTGCCGGCCCCGGTTGTGCAGTGCCGGCTCCGCTATAAGAAAATATGCTTCTAGGAAGCGGTGCGCAGGCTCCGCTGCCGATTTTGATGGCCTTAGTGGTTACCCGGCCCGCTGCACAACCACTGCACAACCGCATTTTTTTTCGGAGTGATTCCGGTATTGCCTGAGGTACCTCAAGTCCTACACCAAAGAGGAAGTCAAAGAGACGAAGAGATACCTGATGGTGTTAGACAAACGTAGAGCAGAAGATAGAAGAAAGTGATTGGGGCGGAAATGAATCCATAACTGAATCGATTCCACGTGAACATGTGACGTTGATGAGTGTTATCGTGAGAAATGTGCAGAGGTGCATATACAGCCAGCGCTGATCCGTGAGTAAAAAAAACGTAAGTGGTGTTAATGAGATGAACTTTAAAAATACATCTCTTTGGCACCCGCCGGGGTCTCGTCGTTTGGGGTGAGCCTGGGTGGCTAGGCGCCGAGTTCGGCGGCCAAGTTTAGGGGACCCAAGGCTCTTACCAAACAAGATGACGATAGCTACTACTAGGGGGGAGGGTGGGACTGTTGGTGCGAGGCCGACTCGAGGAGTTTGGTTCAAGAGAACCAACTCGAGGCATGGCTTCGCCACTTGCCCAAACCCGGCCCTTCTGTCTCTCGTAGCAAGAAGGGCCAATGGGGGGTTGCTCCAAAGGGTAATGGACTGAGAGGTCCTTGATCTTCTATGACTGAGAGGTGCAGATACCACCTCTCAGAGTTTATACAAAATAAACCCCAGTCCGTAGCTGATTGAGGAGTGGGTTGTTAGAACCATACGCCTTGTTGGTTCTTAAGCCCACGGGGTGAAGCGTAGGCGGTTCAAACCTTGGCGGTACCAAGTCATCAGGGACTGTACGCAAGCGGCGTGCAGGAAAAAGTTTGCCTCGGCAACAACTTTCCCACGCTATCCAAAGAACACGCCTATTCACCTTTTATTCCTCACTTCAGCTCACTCGAATAACTTTGACTCTCTCAGTTTTTGTAAACCTCCCACCCACCCTGCAGTCATTGTAGACAGAAGACGAAACACAATTTAGAATAGGGTTTAAAATGGAGGCTTAATGGACAGGAAAATGAAAACATACAGAAGTGGACATGAAAATATGCAGAAGCGGAACGCGGGTACGAAGTACCATTGAGAGCCCCCCCCACCAACCCAGTGTGAGGCCGACTCGAGGAGTTTGGTTCAAGAGAACCAACTTGAGGCATGGCTTCGCCACTTGCCCAAACCCGGCCCTTCTGTCTCTCGTAGCAAGAAGGGCCAATGGGGGGCTGCTCCAAAGGGTAATGGACCAAGAGGTCCTTGATCTTCTATGACTGAGAGGTGCAGAGACCACCACTCAGAGTTTATATAAAATAAACCCCAATCCGTAGCTGATTGAGGAGTGGGCGCTTGAGCTATCTTGTAAGTGATTTGTGACGAACACCCAAGCCGGGTGTAATGGACTTTCTCACCTTGTGTGTTAAGCTGAATTTTTTCTTTGGAAGGAATAGTATGATGGAAAGTCGATTTACGATTCCATGCAATCTGAACTGCACCCTTACCACCAAAGTTGATAGCCACTCGGAACTCGGGGAAAATAAACCACCCGCCCTCAAGCTCAAATCCTTCAGATTGGGTTACAATCTGACCACTAAGACTATCAATTGGATACCATAGACAGTAGACCTTGCCTTTCTCATTATCAGTATGAGGTTTGTTATAAAAATTGCCAAGCGTAAAAGCAAAGTTGGTGACAAAGTCGAGGGGGCCGGAGGGTTGATACTTTGACGTAGAAGCCATTGAAGGAGCCTGGAGTAGGTTAAGTTGCTGGCGAGCGACAAGAAAACCTTCATCACAAAAGCTCTTGAATCTTCTGCCGATTCGAGCACCAAAAGCAGGTAGCCTGTCCAAAAATTCCTTGTACAAAGATTCGGATGACCCTTTGGTGGGAGTGTAAGGTGATATCAGGATGTCGCGCGAGTATCCTACGGTTTGACCAAAACAGTGCATTTGACCGTGAACCAGAGCGCCATTAGTCGTTACTGATCGCTTGCATTTCTTTGATAACGTAGTTGTATTAACAATCAATTCCTTCTTGGTAGTAGCTGATTGGTCAAGGTAATTGAACAACATCTTAGTATTGGATTTCCCAAGGTATATATATATATATTTTGAAAAGAGTAACTTACTGCTATCAAAGCGCCGTTTTGTGTTTTTGATAGTTTGCGTCTCTTTGATGACGTAGGTCGATGATCAATTTATTCATTCTTGGTGGTAGCTGATCGATCACGCTAGTTTAACAATATCTCAGTATTACGTTTAACGGCTTATGATTGGTTACAGACCTTACGCTTATTTTGAACCAATGTTGTATAATCTTCCGCATTGGAATGAGGGAGTGAGGTCAAAGGAGAGGATAACCAGTCAGCAGAAAATGCCCCACAACCTGGTACCGCATTGTCCCCGGTAGTTTTGTGCCAAGAGAACTGATAATCTTGTAGATTGTCCTCGCCTTCTGCATCTGAAGGAGGAAGGGAAGTGAGCGGCGACAAAGGTGGGTTGAATTCGTCTGAAATCTCAATATTAGTGATGCGTGTAGTTGAAGTAGAAGTATCTAAAAATGAACAGCAGAAAATCAGCATTCACATAATGTAAGAGCCTGTAATTAACATAATCGAATGATAAAACCTGTTTTGTGAAATCAGAGTTACGCAACTATCAGCAGGTGGTACCAATGTTTTAGGAGTTGGTAATCTCTTAAAGAGCTTAGTTGACATCAAGATTGTATCAACATCCTTTTGATGTAGATCAAACTCCTCCAGTGTCAAAGATTCCAAGTCATCAAACGAGTATGTAAAGATCAGTTCATTTCAACCCCGATCCACAAATTGCCCTTTTCCATGGGTAATAATTTTGTACGTATTAAAGATTATTTCTATTGTACGATCATAGTTTTCATATGGTAGGACAGGATCATTAAGCCTGTAGCGCTGGCAATCGTGCGTTTTGTTTCTGCGGCTGGTGGACTGAGGCGACTGGTCTGTTGCTTTGGTATCCAAGCTCTTCCTAGCCCTTTTCGCATGGCGCCTGTCATGCGAAAGAGCCTTAGTCATTCTCAGACTTAAGATGAAATAGGTTATTTAAGCTTTATACTCATGTTTGCGATTTCCGCCTCGTTTTCACAAGGTGAAGAGGAGGATTAGGTGGGACTCCCGGTACCTTTTGTTCACAATACTTGTCCAGTGCTCTGCGCCTGCAAAAAAAGTCAGTCAGTTTGAGTACGGAGAGTCACCTTTGGGTGTTAGAACTAAGATTTAACCTACACGACTCCTCCTCTACCTTTGTTTGGATTTTCATTGCTAAGTACCGCAAATCTGCATGCAGGATTGAGCCAGCAGTCAGACTTGGGGAATCCATCTGGCGCAAGGTACTCATGTGGTACATGCGCGTAGGATTTTGCCTGGCCAAAGGGCTTTGGGAGCTAAGGAATCCGTATAACAAAGTAAATGAGGTTAGATAGGTATTAGATAGTTATTGGATAACCAACTGTCTGCCTGTATGAAAGACTCGAATTCACTTACATCTGCATCACTGTATCCAGTCTGCCTCTTAGCGTCTATACCTTTCAAAAGGTCTGATAAGAATGTAACACCAGATGTAGAACTCCTACGCAGTGTAGCGTAGGCTGAGCCGGAGAGGGGATGAAGTACCGCCGGAGAGAATGGGAGTACAACAGGTGCAGTTAAGCTGCCCTCAACCTATAATAATCTCTAAGTCAGAAGCAGAGGGATACAATTCAAAAAGAAACCTTCCTGTTACACACAACCAACACCTGTAATAACTTCAATTTACCCCTTCCACTGATAAAATCAGTACCAAACCTGGTCCGAAAGAGCTCCAACAAGTCTAAGACTGTACAGAGTGGTTACCGAGGCCCTTAAACACTAGACGTGCTTAAGCTAGGGCTATAGAATGGATAAACAAAGTTAAACAAATAATTGATAATGTTTCGCAGTCCAATTCAATTTTAAAAAAATCTTCAAAACTAATTCTTTGAATTAAAAAATAGAATAAAATAATTTTAAAATGATTGATGACTGAGTAGATGCTACTTAAACTTCTATTAGACTACACTGTAAACTATAAAAAAACTACTAATTTTTATACTAAAAAAAACTACTCGAATACCTCTAAAACTGTTGAAATGCCAAAATTAACACACTACTGTAACAAATTTCACAGACACAACTGTTACAAACAAAGATTTCACAAAACCAGAACACAGATTTCACACTCTTGACTCTCGAGTCTTATAAAAAACTAGCACTAATACCCTTACAAGGGTTTAACTAACTCAATAACACTTTTAAAAGAACACTAACAAAAAACTAACACTCACACTCCATAATACAATTTCCGGACAGACAGACTCCTCAACTCAATCAACCCACTCTTCTTATACCCTTCAACTCAATCACAAACTCGTATCTCCTCTTTTCCAACCACCTCGATCACAGCCTCACTTTTCAACTCGTCCCAATCAATCAATGACATCATTCCATCTCGGATTTCCTTTAGTTTCGATCTCGATCTTCTATTATTAATGTAAGTTTTTCTTGTATCTCTCTCTTTAGTTTCTTTTTCTTCTTTTTTAGTTCTTCCATTTACTAATTGGTTAATTTGTTCTCTTTTTTTTCATCTTTAGCTTGCTGCCTTTTCAGTCATCACCTTCCTAAACCGATCGATTCAAATCTAAATTTCAATTTGTAAGTCTTTTCATTTGTTTTAGTTACTCTTTCTTTTAATTCGATCGATTCAAATCTAAGTTCAAATTTGTAAGTTCCTTTTTTTTTTTTCTTTCATCTTGTTTTAGTTTGATCATTCATATACTAACTAATTGCTTGTTCTTCTTTATTCTTTCTCAATTTGATTATAGCTTGTTATCTTCTTGGTTTCATCTAATTCAATCGATCGATTCGATTTTGAGGTTCAATTTTGTAAGTTTTCTTTTCTTCTTCTTTTAGTTCTTTCTGCTTGATTCCTTCATATCCTAATTGATGATTTGATTATTCTTCTTTCCTAATCTGAACTCTAGATTTGTGTCCTTTATCTTTTAGATCGATTGATTTTTCGATTTCTAGGCTTTAATGTGTAAGTCTTTCGTCTTCTATTATCTTCCTTCTTTTGAGTTTCAATAATCTATGTACTAATTACTTGTTTGTTTCATTCTTTCATCTTAATTTTGATTCTAGTTGTTTTATTCAATCTTATTCATTTATATGTATTAATATTTATTTAGTTTGTTTCTGTTGTACCGTGATGTTGAATAAATTAGACTTGAAAAAAAATGAAACTTATCAACTTTGAAGTACTTAATTAAAAGATTTGTATATGAGAATTCCAAACTGAGAGTTATCGAGTAGATCCTAATAAAAGAGTAGGCTTTTAAATAATGTGATTGATTTATTAAAAGTGTGAAAGAGTAAAAGTAGTAATAGTCATGAAAGACTTTGCTTTCCACATCCTCCCCCAACTCGTATCTGTCCCCAGATACTCCCAACAAGACTCTTCACATCTCTTTCCTAATTTTTTTTCTTCCTAACACTACGAGTCCACCCTTGATTTGAGTTTAAAAGCAAGATTTTAAAAAAAACCGTTCATCACATCGATTTCATTTTTGATCGCTCCAAAAAAACAACCTCGTAAGCGACTCGATTCTGGTAAGTGTAATAATAATCAATCCTCAATGTCTGTTGTTGCCAAACACCATTCACTGATTGATAACAATTCATATCAATAAAAAGAACTCTCTAGCTTCAGTAACCAAATTCACAATGCATCATACTGGCCACCCGACTTCGTGTTTGAACTGCGTTGCTATCAGTGCTCCCTGTACATGGGGAATTGTAGATTGCCAACTGTTACGAGATCAATATCAGTGTGATCGATGTGATCAAAACGAGATCCATTGCGGTAAGTCTCTAAATTGTTAAAAACCACCAATCATCCTCTTCTACATAGTGTAATCACGCTAATCTTCAAAACTCCTCTTCAGAATGGACCACATTTACTCCTCCACCTGAAATTCCCTCGGAATTGAAGTCAAACTCCTATGGACACCCTCCCGAGACCAAAACCGAGGCAGAACGTCATCTTCGCATCAAAACTTGGGTGTGTAAACCCGATAAACCTAGCGATCCTAAACTTCGAGCACGATGGATGGCCAATGTCCGTATCTGGAATAATGGAGGAAATGCACCGTTACCACCTCAACACACCACATCTGTTCCACCTCAAGCTACAACATCATTAATCCCAACTCGTATTAAGACTCCTCCCCTTGCCACTCAACCTGAATCCATCCATACACCTAACAACACTCCTCCTCCATCTCAATCACCAACTCATCTTCAAAACACCATCAATGATCCAACTTCACCACCCGCTATTTCTGTTAATTTTAATCAATCTCCTCCTAAAGCACCTAGAAATTTTATTCATAAAACTAAGACTAAAAATAAAAAACCCAAACTCCAAAAAAGTTTTCAACACAAGAAATTCTTCAATCAAAAGTCAACCCCTATCATAATCCCGAACTCTCCCATAAAAGATAAAACTAATTTGACTACTACTGTAGAAGATTTAATTGAAACTCCTCCTCCTTCACCTGTACTTGATGCTAATAATCAACATGCAACTAGATCAATTAATCCTGAAGATGTTATTTCTGAAATCGACGATCCTAGATTATCAACTTCAAACTTGAATGAACAAACTCCAAACAATTCTTACCCAAGTACTCAAGGAATTGATGCGTTTGATGCTGAGTATGGAGCTGGTTGTGCAGGTATATGGTTTGCTAGAAAAACCATTAGAGATGACGAATTGGCCCAAGTTGGTGGTTTACCCAAGATGATCAAGTCTTGAGATCCAACTGTAGCTCTTACAGAAACTATATTTAATATGCTTTCCACTCATTGGAGAATTTTTACTTCTAATGATCCAGTTGAAACTACTGCTAGAATAAATCTTGTAAAAGCTTTTAAAAATATTGTTGCACTTGATATTGTTTATAGAGCTCATCCTCGTCCTGACCTTCGACCTCCACACTATGATGGTATAACTACTGGATTCCCTCCTCATTTTCCTATTCCTCCTACTGGTCATGAGAATTTTTATGATGGAATTGCTGAAGATAACTTGAAGCATTCTACTGAAGGGAAGGGAAAAAAACGTGCTCATGAATAAATGTTTTACTTTATGTTTTGATTTTGTTGATTTATCTTGTTTATTTGTTTTACTTATAGAATTAAATAATGTAATAGAATTGTTTGTTCATGCCGTAAATTTACATCGTGCGTAGCCTCCCCCAACTTAAATTTAAAATTACCACCCTTTTCAAACTTTGATTCTAAGTATCTTCAACCTTCACAATAATTCTCCACTTCATACTAAATTTTAATCAATCTTCCGCAAACTTCTTCATTCCTAATATCAAACTTCAACGTATTAAATTTCTTTGATAATGATTCTTATTCCCGTAATTCAACTAAAAAAATCTTCTAAATAATCCAAGTAACCATTATCCTAGGCCTTGACAATATAAATGTTCAACAATCCCGCAAGAATTCATTCCTCTAAGTATCTTCAAAGTCTAAGTTAATTTTAAGTCTTCCGTAAGTTTACTTCTGTTTGACTAAAGTTTTGTCTTCCGCCTTGAATTAGTATTCCAATATCCAATAATGAGAACTAAGTCTTCTAGTAATGATTAAATTTTAAATATTTGTTTTGATGTTTTAATGTTAAAATTTTATCTCCGTAAGCTCCTTGTCATAAGTTGTTTTGCTGATAAATCTCTTGCCTAAATCCAACACCCTCAACACACCTGTCACATCCCCATAGAAAAAAAGAAAAAAAGAAAAAAGAGAAAATTTAAAAATTGAAAAGATGTATGCCGTAGTAGTAACCATTTAATTTTTGTATTGTAATTTTATTGCCGCGTTGATTGTTTTATGATGATGTGCAGCCTCTCCCCAAACCCCCTACTACAGATTTTAATTGATGTAATTTTTAATTTGATTTTGTCTTGATAATTTTGATTTGATGTAATAATGAAACACTCATATTCTAATACCTGCCAGCTGATCCCACACCCTCATCTATCCTAACCTAACCCCCATGAAGAATAATTAATAATAAAGAAACATCTCTGTAACACTTAACGTAATAATAATTTGAATAATTTTAATGTATATAATCTGAAGAATGTAATGTGTAAATTTTGATTGTATTTGTTGTATGTAGTAGTAATCCATATTGTTTATTTGTTTGACTTGACTGTTATAATTTTTGAGTCCCGCCGCAGTCCCCCTACTACACATGTAATTTGTTTTATCTATCCTACCAGCCAACTAATCCTCTATCCTCAACTATCCTGACCAATCCCCCATAGAAAAAAAGAAAAAGAAAAAAGAAACATATCCATAATTTGAACCCAAAGATTGATAATGATGATAATTTGTATGTAATTTATGTTGTTTGCTTGACTAATAATTTTTATTGAATTGTATTTGTATATTGATTTTGACTGTTATTTATATATTGTTATTATTATAATTTAATCTTGACTATCCATTCATGCCTTCTGTCCACCATCCTCAACTACCCATATCCTACCACCATAAGAGACAAAAAGAAAAGAAAATGTTAAAGTATTGAATTAATTTGTAATAAAGTAGAAAAATGAAACAATAAAAAAAATTTGTTATAGCAGTAATCCATGTTATTGTTTATTTGTGATTGTAATTTGACTAAATTTTGTTTGATTTATCTAATACCCTTCCCGTGCCCCCTGCTATTGAATTGAAAATTTTGAAGTATATATAAAAAAAGAAAAAAGTGAAAAAAGTGATTTGAAGTAGTGTTACATATTCAGCTTAATTGATTTGAATGTTGAATGTTGAATTTATTGATTGTTGCGCCTGCCCCGCACCCTACTACTTATGTTGATGTTTGTTTAATGTAATAACTATCCATTCCTGCCATCATCCTCCATCCTGGTCATCCTATCCCACACCGCCAAAAAAAAACAGAAAAAAGAAAAAAGAAAAAACTATAACACATGAAAGAAACCTAAGAATATGAGATATATATTTTTTTATTGATTTTCTTTATTTTAATTTGAACTACTTGAACTACCTGATTCCTCCTCTTGAAAATCTTCTTCCCTTGCCGCTTCTGAAACACCTCTTGGAAAAAATCTTTTGATATGTTCCGCCGCCACTTGTCTACTTAATACTGTCCCATCTAACTCTTCTAGAATGTAAGATCCGCCTTGATATTGCTCCCGTACTCTATAAGGTCCATTCCATCTATCTTTAAATAATTTACCCCATTGTGATTCCAAACTTTTGTTATAAACTAAGGCCCTTGCTATTTGCAGCACACACAAAATCCATGTAGGCGCTGCCAAAACAGCGCCTACATGAAGGTTTCCCACGAAAAAGTGCCTACATTTATGATGTAGGCGCTTTTTCCTTTTTCAAATGACGCCTACAGGCTGAAAAACCAATGTAGGCGTCATTTGTGTACACCTACATTCTAAAAATGAAATGTAGGCGTAAATTTGAAGCGCCTACATTGTGTAGGCGTCACAAAAATGTGCCTACATCTTTTTTTTGACTGTGGGCGTAATTTTTGTCCCTTATAATTGAATACCAACACCCTTATAAATTAATACCAACACCCTTATAATTTAATTTCAACACCCTTATGATTTAATTGCAACACCCTCATAATTAATTATAAGACCCTTATAATTTTATAATCAAATGCGCACTCTTACATTTAATACCCTTATCATTTAATATCAGCACCCTTATAGATTTGTATTCACACGTGTATAAGACCCTTATGACTAACTTAAGCGCCTACATGTAAAAAACAATGTAGGCGCTCAAAAAAAGCGCCTACATTTTATTTTTAGAATGTAGGCGCCTGAAAATAGCGCCTACATTTTATTATTAGAATGTAGGCGTACACAAATGACGCCTACATTGGTTTTTCAGCCTGTAGGCGTCATTTGAAAAAGGAAAAAGCGCCTACATCATAAATGTAGGCGCTTTTTGGCGGAAAACAACCATGTAGGCGTAATTGGGACAGCACCTACATGGATTTCATGTGGGCTGCAAATAGCAATGGCCTAAACTAAAACCAAATATCCTATTTCTAATGACCCTCTTAACCTGTGTGAATTTTTCCTATCCCAATATATAATACCTTCCGTCCTTGATTTCATCATTTTTTCATAAGCCTTCTTCAACATTTCATCCTTTTGTTCCAACTGTTCTACCCTTGCCATTAATAATTCTTCTCTAGTAGTCACCTTATCCCAATCCACCCCAAGGAAAGTCCCCGCCTCAACATCAACCGGTAAGATTGCCTTCTGATTAAAGAGAACTTCATAAGGTGAAAATCCTGTTGTCCGTTTGGTCGAAATCCTATCTGAAAATAATACTGGAGGCAATTTCTCTGCCCACTTCCTTCCATCTTCACCACATATTTTTACCAAAGTATTCTTCAAGGGTTGATGTCCCCTTTCCACCATTCCTTCACCTTGTGGCCAATAGGCAGTAGCCTCCCCCAACTTTGATCCCGACATCCTCACCGCTTCTCTTAATTCTCCTTTAAATTCTGGTCCTCCATCTACCGTAAAACACTTCACCGCCCCATACCTCCAAATCCATTCTTTCAAGATAAAGTCTGCTACTGCTTTTGAAGTTAATTTTTGTAAAGGTTTGGCTTCAACCCATCCTGAAAGATCATCCCTTGCTACTATCAAATACTTAAATTTACCAGTTTTAATATGTACTGCATCTAAACTAACTCTTCCAAATACTGTTGATTCCCCTGCAGCATGACCTCTTTCATTTTGAGTGTTAGGACTCCTTCTTTGACAAGCTTCACAAGACATTACCCATTTCCGCACATCTTCTTTCATTTCTGGCCACCAAAATCTAATTAAACATTTTCTGTAAGTCTCTTCTACCCCCCGATGCCCCATCTCTTCATGTAACCTTTGCAAAACTATTTCCTGTCCTTCTTTTCTTGAAACCACTAATCTTCCACAAGGTACCCCTCTCTTCTTTAACCTTCCACGCTCCGTAAAGAAAGTCTTCAATTTATGTTGTATCCATTGAAAGTTATCATCTGAACAATTTGATGGTCGCTGAAGATTCTTCAAATATTCTTCAAGTGTTGCCCATAAACCTTCTTGAGTCCAAGGCAGAAAATCATTCTCATCATTAATAGTAGAGACTGGGAAACCTTCATATGAAGAAATGTCCTTCTGTTCTTCATCACAATTTTCTCCCTCTGAAGTAGAATCTTCCCCGACTGGTCTTCGTGAAAGTCCATCTGGCATACCAAAGTTCTTCCCTGATTTATGAATAATATCAAAAGAGAATAACTGAATAAAAGCAACCCATCTAGTCATTGGAGCATTTGGTAGAGTTGGCCGGTTAATCATTTCTACCAAAGACTTAGCATCTACTTGAAGCTCAAAATGTTGTCCCCATAATTTACTTTGAAACTTTTTCAATATTCTTGCAACTCCACATAATTCTAACTTTGGTTGAGATTATCTTGATTCTACTGGTGAAAAAACTAATGATTCATAAAACACCGGCCTTGCCTTCCCTTGTTTGTCTTCCTGCATCAATACTCCGCCTGCCGCCATTTGACTTGAATCCACTGCTAATATAATTTTACCTGCTCCCTCCCCATATTCTAAACCTTTCAACATAATGTCTTCTCCAATAATCTTCTTTAAAGTATCCAAAGCCTCCTGACATTCTTCATTCCAATCCCATTCCACATCTTTCCTAGTCAATCTTCTCATAGGCGCTGCTATTTTCGAGAAATCCTTGATGAACATTCTAACACACATCCCCAAAAAACATAAGACCTCAGTAGTGTTTCTAGGAACAGGCCAATTCTGAATTTTGTTTTTCTTCTTCTTTGAAATTGTTCTTCCTTCTTTACATACCACATGTCCCACAATTTCTAATGCCGGAACACAAACTGCAAATTTCTTTCCTGAAACTGTAAGTCCAGCTTCCTCAATTCTAAACAAGACTCTTTGTACAGTAACTGCATACTCCCAAATGAAACGTCTAATACCAGGATTTTCTTCTAGTACTGCCTCGTCGTAAGTAGAATCAGGACCTTTGATTCCGCTGTCATCAATG